TCAAGTATTAGAAAGTTATATATTGGAGAATATTTGAGAGACAAACGTGAAAGCAGTCAGGGAAGGGAAACATGCACCTCGCTATGAAGACTCCCAGGAGGAAACAATAGAGAAAATGGAGATAAGGAAATAATCAAGAAAACATTATTTTTTAAAAATCTCAGAGCCAAAGACAGACCTCAGTACTCAGCCTGGAAAAGTCCAGGGCAGTGCCACCCCATGGGGGAGGGAGCCGCTGTGAAATCTCAGGCACCGTGGAATGATGAGCCGGGCTCAGACCAGAACCACTGCACCCCAACTTCCAGAGCAAGGCCCTCCGGCGTGGGGCCAGCTTCTGACCACTGAGCCCACCAGCCAGGCGGCGGCAGACGGGAAGCCAGAGGTCAGAGACTGACAGCCTTCGCAGTTCGCCTTTTCTCTCAGCGTGCAGGGCAGAGGGCTGTGAGGGGCCAGGGCCGCAGTCCCACTTTCCCTTTGTGCCTTTCTGTGATTTTGAATATTTACTTCTGTGCAGACGGGTGGTTTCTGTCCAAACAAAAACAATGATATACATATCTTTTAAACCTGCCCTGGCCAGTGGCGCCCATGCACCAAAAGGTCGCAGGTTTGATTCCCTGGTCAGGTCACGTACAGGAGGCGGTTGGTATCTCTGTCCCTCAAGCAATAAAAACAGTCTCCAATGGGGATTAAAAAAATAAATTCATTAAAACAAACCCTCCTTCATGGACTGACCAGTGCCCTGAGGACAACACCCAAACTCCTCAGCGAGCGTCTGGCCCCCTCCATCTGCCTGCTCTCAGCCCTCAACGCCCTCCCCCCACCCCTGTGCTTCTGTGCACCTGCCCCCCTCAGCTCTAATGCCCCTTCCCCCCCACTCCCCAGTGCACCCCCCACCCCAGCATCAGCCCTCAGTCCCCACCCTGGGGCCTGTGCAGTCTGTTCTCAGCTTTAATTCCATGAAGAAGGCACACTTGCTATTTGCCATTACGTTTCTGCAGCCTGTTCGCCTCAGAGACCAAGCGCCGCCTACTGATGCCAAGACGAGAAGCCCTGGCCTGCTCCCCGAGACCAATGCCAAGACCAGCCCCCCGAGACCAGCCCCCCGAGACCAGCCCCCGAGACCAGGGCGTCTGAGGAAAGCGGCAGGAAGAAGGCCACAGGGGGCGGGGGCGGGTGGGGGCTGCCAGGCAGTCAGACAGATGCCTCACGCCCACCGGCCAGGGCAGCCTTCTTCCCTCAGCTGGCTGCATTCCTCTTGAGCAGCCTTCTCGGTCCTGGTCATGCTCAAAGGTCCCCATCCTAGTTGCTGCTCACTCCCTTCCACCCAGGGGACCACTCCTCACTGGGCCTTTCCAGCTGAGCACAGCGCCTGGGGCAGTGACCTGGGCTGACCTCACTCCCGCCCGCGGCCTGGCCTGCGGAGTGGACCTCACACTCCAATGTCCAAGCGGCCCAGGGCATAGCCCTCGTACCCGTGCCGGCAGCTGAGAGCAAAGCCAGGCCTTCATGGAGTGGGCCGCCCCGCCAGCCGGCGTGCCCACAAGGCAGGGCCCGCGTGGCCCGGGAGGCGGCAGTGCGAGTGCCACCTCCGAGCGTTAACTTCTGTCCTTCACCCCTTACTCTCCGGGACGGGACGGGACAGGTGGGTGCTGAGCCCCAGGCCGCTCCCCGTGGTGCTGTGGCGGCCGCCCGCCCTTCCAGGCGCGCAGAGCAGTGTGGGCAGCCCCGGGCAGCAGGGCAGCGGGTCACAGGCCTGGGCAGGCGCGGTGGGTGGGCCTCCTTCCGCAGCCCCGGGAGCCCAGGCTCTCCTCCCCTCCCCTGTTGGACTCAGTGGCCATCCTCTTCTACACCCGTTACCACAGAGCTCCCTCCTGTTCCTGGGATCTGCCATCGGGGCCTCCCTCCCCGTCTGTTTGCACATTCTCCCCACACGTCCCCCGAGGCGTGACACAGCACGCCCTCTCCACCAGTCACCCGCGCATTCATCCAAATGTGGGTCCCGAGCTCATGCCTGGATCGTGCCCTCCCTCAGGGCTCACACTCCGCTGAGACCACGGCCTGGCCAGGGCCTGGGTGAAGGGCAGAGGCAGCGGAGGGAAGCCTCGTGTGGGGAGGGAGGGAGGGAGGCGGCAGAGCCGGGCTGGCGCAGGGCCTGTGGTGGTGAGTGAGGTGCGGAGGGGGCGGTGGCTACAGAGCCAGAGCCTTCGGGCCTTGAGGCCAGAGCGGAGCCCGGGTCTCAGGTGCCAGCGCACAGCTTAAGCAGGGGAGTGCCTGGCCTGGCAGCTTCCAGCCACCTCTCCGGCAGCTGAGTAGAGAATGATTTAGGGGAGCGAGAGGCGTCGGGGGTCCCAGGGGAGCTGATCGGGAGCTGCTAAAAGGACACACACACACACACACACACACACACACACACACGATGATATCCGAGATGTGGTCATTCAGATCGACCAAAAGGGGGCACTGCAGGGTGACCCCGATTCCTGCCCACTCTTGGTCGCTCCCCCTGGACTGAACCCTCTGCCGGAACGTGTGGCCTTAACTGTTCTCGACGCCCTCGGGCTGAAGGCCAGGCAGCCCTCCTCCCGGGGCAGCCTCAGCTGCCAACTGTGCCGGCACCACCTCCGCTCCGCTCCCTGCCCCTTCTCTGCCATCCTCCCGCTGGTAATGCTGTGCTCCGAGCTGGGCACAGGCCGCACGCCGGGCTCAGGGCCCACGGACGGGTGAGACCCAGGGCACGTCCAAGGGCTGGCTTTGCCCCAGCGGCCTGGACCTCGCCGTCGCTGTTTCATAGCGGAGACGCCTCCTCCCAGACAGCTCTACGCCGTCCGCGTGCCCCGAAGGCGGGCCTCGGAGCCACATCAGGGCTGGGCCCCGGCCCTGTCAACAGAGCAACGGAGAGCCCACGTCTTCCTGACTCCAAGAGGGTTCAAGCTCGGGGGGAGCAACCCCACCCCGATTCCATAGGGCCTGTAATCTGCGCGTTAGCCCGCTCACAGGGCATGGCTCTCAGAGCAGGAAGTGCAGACACTGCTGAGGGACAAAGCCTGCCCTGGGCACCAGCCCCAGGGCCCAGGAGCCCTGAACACGGGTGGGTGGTGCTGGGGACGGTCAGACGCCAGGCCCCCGGGACAGGGAGGGCTGCCTGCACGGACCTCTTCCTCCCTAAACTCCCGCGGAGGCCAGCAGGGCAGTGCCTCCCCACTGAGCACTGCCCGCCCGGCGCTGCCTGAGCACAGGCAAAGGAGGTGGGGCAGTGATTCACCATCTTTCCCCTGAACACACCCGTCCCATCTTCCAGGCCTCCGCCCGCCGGGACAAGAACCCGCAGATGGAACTTCCTGCTCCACCGGCACAGGGGATTCTCCCAGTAACTCCGGGATGGGAGCCGCCTCTGTGGGCCTCTGCCAGGGGCGTGCCCAGGGCTCCCGTCATGGGGTGCGGCTGCTGGATGCCAACAGGCCAAAGGCCATCAAGTAGCCAACATGCTGACCGAGAGGCAGGAAGGCCCCACGCCGGGCTGTCACGGACGGGGCGCGGGAGGCCTCCTGGCACCAGGTCAGGCTCCCGCCTGTAGGGCGGCGGTTCCTGTCAGGCAGGGACCCAGGAACCCACAGGGCAGGCTCCACGTGCGGTGCTGGGAAGGCCGTCAATCCCACAACACGTTTCTCTCCAGCCACCCACAGTCCCTACCTTCTGGGGTTCCCGGCAGCCAAAGGCTATCAACCGCTCACACAGCTGACCTCAAATTAAATCCTTGCCTCCCTTCCCGCTCCCGTGGCAGTTTCTTGTCTCAGCCCCAAACCCACAGGGATCCCCAGCTCACCCAACTCAGACCTGCCACCGGGCCCAAAGGCCGAGCAGAAAGAATTCCAAGGACCCCCGAGCTCCCAGACACACCCGCTCAGGAGCTCAACTCCCAATTTCCTGCCGGGCGGCGGCTCTGTCCCCCCCCCCCCCCCCCCCCCCGGCGGCTCCTCCCGGCGGCTCCTCCCCGGGGGCTCATCCCCCCGGCGGCTCCCACGGCGGCTCATCCCCGGCGGCTCCTCCCGGCGGCTCATCCCCGGCGGCTCCTCCCGGCGGCTCCTCCCCGGGGGCTCCTCCCCGGGGCTCATCCCCGGGGGCTCCTCCCGGCGGCTCCTCCCGGCGGCTCCTCCCCGGGGCTCATCCCCAGGGGCTCATCCCCCGGCGGCTCCTCCCGGCGGCTCCTCCCGGCGGCTCCTCCCCGGGGGCTCCTCCCCGGGGGCTCCTCCCCGGCGGCTCATCCCCGGCGGCTCATCCCCGGCGGCTCCTCCCGGCGGCTCCTCCCCGGGGGCTCCTCCCCGGCGGCTCATCCCCCCGGCGGCTCCGTCCCCGGCGGCTCCGTCCCCGGCGGCTCCTCCCGGCGGCTCCTCCCCGGGGGCTCCTCCCCGGGGGCTCATCCCCGGCGGCTCCTCCCCGGGGGCTCCTCCCGGCGGCTCCTCCCCGGGGGCTCCTCCCCGGCGGCTCCTCCCCGGCGGCTCCTCCCCGGCGGCTCCGGCCCCCGGCGGCTCCGTCCCCCGAAGGCTCATCCCCCGGCGGCTCCCCGGGCGGCTCCGTTCCCCGGAGGCTCATCCCCGGCGGCTCCCTCGGCGGCTCCCCCGGCGGCCCCCACACGCTCTCGGGGGGAGAAGGAGCCCCTTTCAAAGCCTCGTGCGGGCGGCGTGTGGCCGGCCCGGGCGCGGGGCGGAGGTCACAGGCCGCCCGCACGAGGCTTTGAAACGCGGGGCCTGCTCCCCGCTGGGCGGAGGCACAGGTCCTGGCGCCCCGCTCACTCGGACCTGAGGCTGGCGGTGGCAGCGCCCGCTCTGCCCGCGGAGCCCCCGCCCCAGCTGCCTGGACACCCGGGGTCCGACCCCCAGGGCCGCAAAGAGGGGGTGCGACCAGCGAGCCCCGCTGCGGGGCTCCCCCGCCCGGCGGCTCCGGGCGCCCGCCCCGGCCCCTCTCGGCTGCCCCGCAGGGCTCCGCGCGGCGGGCGGGCTCACCGGAGCGGGACGCGGACGGCCAGGTAGCGGTCCACGGCCACGGCCAGCAGGCTGAAGATGGAGCTCTGCGTGAGCACCAGCACGAAGCAGGCGAGGAAGAGGCAGCTGGAGAAGTCGGTGCAGAAGCCCAGGCTGATGGTGACGGCGAAGGGGATGGCGAACAGCCCCACGGCCACGTCGGCCGCCGCCAGCGACGCCAGGAAGTAGTTGGTGGGCGTCTGCAGGGCGCTGGCCGTGCCCACCGCGGCGCACACCAGCACGTTGCCCGCCACCGACAGCGCGGCCAGCGCCAGCTCCAGCGCCACGTACAGCGCGTCCTGCGCCTCCAGCGGCATCGCTGCCCGCGCCGCCGAGCGGGGACGTGCGCCCCGCGGGCAGGGCCCCGGCACCCGGTCCGCCCGCCTCTGGGCGCCGGCGCGGGCGCTCCGGACCCGACCGCAGGGCGGGGCGGGAGGCGGGGCGCCCATTGGCCGGCGCGCCCGCCCGCCCGGGCCCGCGGGCCCCGCCTCCCGCCCGCCGAGGTCCGCGATCGCCGGAGGCCGTGGCCGGGGGGGGGGGGGGGCATCTGACCGCCAGGCTCCCCGCGTCCCGGCGCCCTCCCGCCGGGGTGTCCGCGCTGTCGCTCTGCCGCCGCCCGGGCGCTCGGGGCGTGGAGAGAGCGGGGACCGCGCCCGCCGCTGCCGGCCCCCAGACTCTCCGCTGACGGCGGGGGTCCGGGACCTGAAGCCTTCGGAGGCTCCCGTTGGACAGGCAGGGCTCGCCTTGCTGCCCGGATGAGATGCCTCAGGGAGGGCGCGGAGGTGCCGACGGCGACGGGACCCCCGCTCGGCCCGACGGCGAGCGGGCTCGGCGGCTGCAGCTCTGCGCGCACCCACCTGCCCCGGGCGCCCGCCTTCCCCTCTGCCCGGGGCCTCCGGCTCTGCTTCTCCCCTGGCCACCCCTTCACCCCTCACCCCCACCCCCACCCCCACCCTTCCCCAGAGCGCCGGTGCTCCACACCCGCCCCGGGGACACTCCCCAGGCCTCACTCGTGGCCCTGAGCACCTCCTGAGTGAGGGCCAGGCCCCAGCATCCCTCTGCCCACACTTTTCACTCCGCCAGGAGAGCCCGAGGCCCCCAAATCCAGCCCGTCCAAAACCAAGCTCGTTTTCAACTCTCCCCAGACCTGTGGGCTCTCGTGTACACTCGGCTATGGATCTTACTTCCCACCCCGCCCGCTGCACCCTTCCCCGCACTCCTAGGGCGGGTGCTGCCAGTCCGGCTTCCAGAGCTCGCTCCTCTCCGCCCCAAGGCAGGCTCAGGGGGATCCCTCCTCACGGTCTGCCCCCACCGCCCCTCCCTCTGCTCTCCCTCTGTCTCCACTCTGCTCCATCCGTCTGCCTCGTCCTCCCCAGCTCCATCCTTCCAGGGCACACGGCTGTGCGTCCCCTCCATCGCTAGCAGTCACCGGACGAGGTGGCTGAGAAGGCTGTCGCACAGCCGGTAGGGATGCTTGCAAAGTTATGTGAAGCAAAAGGAAAACGTGGAGGTAACTGGTGAAGGATGGAGGGTTCATTTTGGGGGCGACAAAGATATTCTAACTGTGATGGCTGCACAGCTCTGTAATCTAAGAAAGGACTTAACTACACACTGTGAACAGTGGGGTGTAGGGCCCATGGCTCCCATCTCAGGTTGGCTGTAACAAAGCCCTCAGCCTCCAGCGGGCGGGAGCAGGACCGTCTGTCTGTGTAACAACAAGTGTTTCGTGTGGTTTTTCACTTCTATCATAACAAAACCTGATTCTATTCAGTGAAAAACTGAAAGCCCACAGACTCCATGCTTTCTCCCCGACCCTTGCTCCCACAGCACCTGACACAGACTGTCACCGCGTGTGTGGTGAACTGGCGCCACCGAGGGACCACGAACACCAAACTCTTCTCGAGTTGGTGGCGGGTGAACAGATACAGGGCTTCCTGGGGAGGAGGCGATGGGAAAGGCGTGGCAGTATTGGGTAGGGATCATGCTGGGAAGGTTGTGCAGAGGCTTGGGCAGGCACAGCCACACCCTGGAGGGCGGAGAAGGGAAGAAAGTCTGCAGGGCCGGCTTCAACCACTAGGCGGGAGCGTTGTGTGGCTGCTGGAGGCGCAGGGCAAAGCCAGGGAGGTCACGGAGCAGGTGGTGATGGAGCCGAGCAGCACGGCAGTGCGGCTGCAGTTGGCAGAGGGAGAGGAGGCAGCAGGATGGAAGCCTGCGGGCGGCTGTGAGTGCTTCCCGCTTCCCTGCAGCCTCTAGGCCCTGGCTCAGCTCCACCATTTTCTGTGCCTGGAATTCCCGGTTTTCCTTACCAGAGCCCATCCTCCCTGAGGAAACCAAATCATCTGGGCAGTAAGGGTCCCCATTACGAACCCCCCTCCCCCCGTCCCTCGTGCAGCCCACTGAGTCCCCCGTGCCTGGGGTCCACCCCTGGACAGCCATCAGCAGAGCCAGCCCAGCCCACACCTAGCACCGGGCTCTTTTACTCACACGACCACCCTCCCCTCTCCATCAAGTTTTTGTGAAGCAAACTGTATCATCCTGACCTCGTCTACCCCAAGTCTGGAACTCACACTGGGATTTAAACTGTACTCACGCAGCCAGGGAGGTGGCAGTAATGGTGACAGGCAATCATTGTTGAGGAAACGAGAAGAAAAGGTAGAGTCTGGAGGGAGTCGTGAGCGTTAGGATTAAAAAGCAGCTGGGGTGTGGACAGAGCCCAGGTCTCAGGAACGGAGGACCCAGATTCCTGCTTCTGAGGTTACCTGGGACAAGTTAATTAATCGTGCATAAGACAGAACAACAATGCTAGCTGCACAGGGTCACTACGAACCGGGACCGAGGAACCATCTACCATGGAACCTCTGACAGTGAGGAGAGCATTTGGATGGATTAGGTTAGAGCCCTAGAAACCTGAGTGGGACTTCAATTGGTGAAAGTGGAAGGGAATATTTTGTGGCCCCTCTGAGGCCCCTCTGTGGACCTCTTGCCGATGGCTGGCACCACCCTGTCACTCCCACTCCTGCTCCATCTTGCCTCAGCTGCCAGAGCAGAATCCCAGGTGGCATCCAGGTGGCAATGCAGTACTCAGAGACGTTGTCAAAGACCAAAGCTCTCTCTGTCTTTGGTTCTGCTTATTATCTCCATGGTTACAGAAAGGTTGCCACAGATGCAATCATTACTTCCTCAAGCAACCACAGAGAAAGCAGAAGTGGGTTAGCTTCTACCATCGCTTATCATCATTTGTCCTGGGTCACGTGAATGTGAGCTTGGGGATGGAATTGTGCCTGGGTCAGACCAAACATGCCTGCCCAAATACGCTGTCATCTAAATGATCCTGTGGTGCTGCGAACTGAACAGCAAGGGAGGACAGTGCACATTATCGTTCACTGTGCTACTGTCAGAGGGAATTTCCCACTTATAATCTGGGTCCCAGGCCTCACTGGCTTGTACATAAAAATTGGTTCTTGGGGTATTAAAAATAAGCTACACTGACACTCTCCCAGGACCAAACTGAAAATACAACTAAAACACAGAAAAAACAACCTTGAAAGTTCAACTGAAGACTCGCTGGAAAGAACCCTGATAACCAAGACGGAAAGTGGAGGCCACATAGAGACTGGTAGGAGGGAGAAGGTGCGGAAGGCTGGCTGGTGCCCACAGACAGCAGCTAAAGGTCCAGAGGAATATCTCAGCTGAGGGGCTCCCACTGAGAACTCTGAGGTCTAATCCCCAACCTGGGCTCTGCAGCCCAGAGCACCAGAACTGAGAAAGATGCCCACAGAACATCTGGCTGTGAAAAGCAGCAGGATTGCTGTCTGCCAGGGAAAGACAGCTGGAGAAGCAGGTACCCTCTTAAAGGACCAACACACAAAATTTCATATGCAGCCACTGACCTTGGACTCTGGCAAAGGGAGGGCAGAGTGGACCGGAGCTTTGTGAGAAGAGTCCAGGGTGGAAGCTCTGGGATTGGGGCTCCAAGGGCAGCCACCCGTTTCCTGTGCTGAGTCATTTCCTCATTCTGGAGAGAACATCTTTCTCCTAGAGACCTCAGCAATCCAGGTGTTTTCATCTGGGGGAAAGGCAGTCACCACACTCTGTTGGAAGAGCTCTCCCCCACGCTGTCATCCATAGCCCAAGGCCAGCCATGGCTGATCACAATCACACTGCAGGCGGAGGAAGATCTCTGAGGCTTTGTCTTTGCCTGATCTCCTTCTGGGCCTGGGGCTAGGAAAGGCAGCTATCATGTTCCTTTCCAAAAGCACCCGACCCCAGCAGAGGAAGCCACAAGCTGTTGATTACTGATAGCCCCAAACAGGGTACTCAGTGCCAATCAGAAACAGCATCTGACAGTGTCTTGCACTAGAGATTGGGAGTCATAGCAGATCTACCTAATACACAGACACAAATCCAAACAGGCTGTCAAAATGGGGAGACAAAAAAACAAACAAAAAAACAACCACCCCCAAGTGAAAAAAATAAGAGAATTCTCCTGAAGAAAGATAAATGAAATGGAGATAATAAATTTATCTGATATAGAGTTCTGAATAATGATGGTAAAGATGCTCAACAGCATGCTAAAAGATATAGTAACTATGAAAAAAGATCAGTTGGAAATAAAGAATGGCATTGCACTAATAAAGACCACATTGGAAGGAATACACAGAAAATCAGGGGAAGCTGAGGATCAGAACAGTGATTAGAAAACAGGATAGGAAAATTCACTCAAAGAATCAGAAAGAAAAAAAAAACACAATTAAAAACAGGATAGCTTAAGGGAACTGTGGGGCAACATGAAATGTAACAATATTCACATAATAGGTATGCCAGAAGGGGAATAAAGTGAGCAAGGGATAGAGAATGTGTTTGAAGAAATAACTGCAGAAAACTTCCCTAACCTTGTGAAGAAAAACTTCATACAAGTTCAGGAGGCACAGAGAGTCCCAAGCAAGAACTCAAACAGACACATCATAATTAAAATGCCAAAAGTGAAAGACAAAGAGAGAATCTTAAAGGCAGCAAGAGAAAAGCAATTTGTTACATACAAAGAAGCCCTCATAAGGCCTTCAGATGATTTCTCATCAGAAACTCTCCAGGCCAGAAGGGAATGGCATGAAGTATTCAGTTAATGAAACCAAGAATTGGAAACCAAGATTACTACATCCAGCAAGGCTATCATTCAAAATAGACCATTGGATTCAGTCTTGTAGCCTGAGGCAGTGGTCGGCAAACTGCAGCTTTCGAGCCACATGTGGCTGTTTGGCCCCTTGAGTGGGCTCAGCGTTAGAACCACTTCTTCAAAGCAGACTCGCCCAGGCCGAAA